TTTTTAAAATTTGATCCTTCTAATAAAATATAAAATAGTTTATACATTTGGAGTGCACCAATTTCAAAAGCGAAGGGAGTGAGACATTTACATAAATGAGCACCTAATAATACTGCAGCTGTTTCTTTTCTGAAATAAGTGACATTATTTCATTAAGAAATGGAAGATTTAACTGCCTGTGTTTGAATCCTAGCTCTTCTCCTTAGTATCATTGGAACTGTGAGCCAGTTACTTACTTATTTCTTCCTCAGTTTTCTCACTGAAAATGGGAATAGTAATACTACCTATTACTCCACAAGTTACTAGGAAGTTGACTGTGAGTTCTTACTTGTAAAATGCTTATAACAAAGCCTGGCACATGGCATATGTTTTTTTTTTTTTTTCTTTATTATTGTTATTATAGTAAATAACACATATTGTTTTATTTTCATTTGAAAAGTGGACATTACACTTGCCTTCCTGCTAAGTAAAATTAAATGAGAAGTTAAAGTGAAATTTAACATCATAGTAAAAAAGAAACCCAAAAGGTAAAACCGTAATAAAAAATGAGTTTTTCACTCATCCCAGTATAATTTCCAAGGGGAGATGGAAGAATTTTGATGCATAAAAGTATTTCAAATGGTTTTGAATCTTGAAATGACCTCCTTAGAAAAGTGAGATTGCTACTAAGAGTAGAGCAAAAAATAACTTGCCATATGCTGCCTGCAGGCTTGGGGTATTGAAAGTCTTACCAGAGCCCTGGCATCTGAATATGTATCTTCTTTTATGAAAGAAGCAGAGCAGCTTGTGTCTTATGTCCGCCACCAAACTGGTTTTTTTCAGGATGTCAGAGGTACAGAGGGAGTGGTGAGACAATTCACCAGAGACAGAGTGGGGAGCAGAACATGCAGATCTACTGAAATACTCTGCTGAGGGGAGCAGCGGGTGAGATAGGAGAGGTCTGCCGCGCCATGTGGATCAGCCCCCATGGCCAGGGATTAAATTTATGCTGCAGTGGCTGAGACTAACAACTCTGTGCTACCAGGAAGGCCCTGATGTCATTTTATACAAGAGAAAGGGTCAATAGTCTGTTAAGTAAGTTCTTCTCTGTATATTATTGTTTTATATTACTGCTATTTTTTGGCTTATTACTGACCATTTAACTCCAGATATAGAAGAACAATGAATTATTTGGTGATTTATGTAGGCTATATAATTTAAAATTTTAGGTGTTACGGAATTTTCATATATGTAACATAAATTAATGTAATTTATGCATCAGTTTTATAATATATACACACAAAAGTATATTTTACAGCCAGTAATGAAACTGCAATGGGTATTTCTAGGTTTCATTTTTAGTGCTGTCTGAACACATGAAGTGTCACTTGCTGTGCGTTAGAAAATTTTTTTTTAAGCCATATTTTAATTCTGGCATTAAAACAAAATATTGGGAATCCTTTGGTTTGGTTTAGCCTAGTTTGGATTGTTAGAGTTTCTAAGAAGTTAAGAGTGGCACAATGGGTTAAATCACAGCACTGTGAAGCTCTCTTCAGCTACTGCAATACAAGTTTGGTCCCCAGCCAGGGAGGTGACCCACATGGCATGGCAGACCTCTCCTGTCTCACCCACCGCTCCCCTCTGCAGTGTACTTCAGCACATCTGCCTGTAAGAAAAGATCAGCATTCTTTTGGGAAAAGTTGCTTTCTGTTGTTAATTGAGTGTTTTCATGGTTATGTTTAACCACACATCAGTACACCTCATTCTGGGCTTTAGGGAAGCAGAACTCTTAGAGCTTTTAACCAGAAAAGCTCTAAACTCATGACTACTGATGGGCTTAAGAAGGTAGATGTGGGCCCTCCCTGGTTGTGCAGCCGGTTACGACACAGCACTGCAAGCTGGCCGCAGCCGCTTCTGCACGAGTTTGATTCCCATCCCCAGAGGTGAACCCACATGGCGAGTTAGGCCTCTCCTGACCCGCCCACTGCTCCCCTCAGCAGTGTACTTCATCGATCTGCCTATTCTGCTCCCCATTCTGCCTCTGGTAAAGCCTCTCACTACCCCTGTACCTCTGGGTTGTACCCCAGTTCTGTATGAATAAGTAAATAAATCTTAAAAAAAAAAAAAAAAGAAGAAGGTAGATGTTTTGTTTATTCCTGCCAGATTAGCCTAGCCAACATTGTGTTTTGTCCATTTTACTTAACTTTATGAGTTAATATTTCCCAAGGTTTTACAATCCTAATTTACTCATCGGATATTTGTTGAGTGCTTCCTATTATTTGTCAGGTATAGTATGTGGAGCTAGAAATGTACCCATAAACTAGTCATTAAGTAAACAGTGTCACAAAAATGAAGAGACGGGGTACTTCAAGAATGTTTGTGAGGATACTAATGGAGGCTGAGTGTAGAAATTAAGGATAGAGGTCACAGCACCAGAAACTGGAGGTGGGGGGTAGAAATGGTGAACATAGTTGTTAAACCAGCAGTAGAAATGAAAACTCCTCGGGCGCCAACTGCTATAGCAAATAGGGTACTATAGAATTATCCTGAAGCTGTTGAAGAGAATATTTGGAGGCACAGCTTGAAGGCTCTTACATAAAATCACAGGTCCTCACAAATCAACCATGTCATACCCTAGAAGTAACTTAACAGGTAACAGTTCCAGGAAGGAAGGAGCCACCCCCCAAATAAACACTATATCCATGCATTTTCTACACTGGCCAGATGCAGCTTTTCTGCCCACCTGTGACTCTGCAGGTGTTTCTTTTTCACAAACCTTTTTCCCTTTGCAGAACAGTGACATCAACTCTTCCTGTCAGCTTGTGTCTGTGCAACAAGCATCTTCTCTTTTCCTTTTTTTAATGTAATAAACCTGCCCTTTTAGATATAACTAAAAGTCTTTGCCTCGTGGTGGGGAAATTCAATGCGTGCCACTGAAAGGGGAACTTTTTCTCAGAGGTAACCCACCCCGCTCACCAAAACCTACACCCCTGCAAAATGACATCAGGTATGACTATTAGAGAATATTTGAATCATACCTTGTAAAATGAGAATACATGAGTTCATGCTTGCGGAAGTAGGAGTTCAGGGGAACATATTTACCCAGTTCTGCAGAGTTTTGATGTATTAGGATTGTCATTTTTTTTTTTTTCTGAGAGATTTGACAAAGGGGGGTTGACTCTACTGAGATGTATGTAAAGGTCAGCAGCTCTTTTCTGAAGTATATGTGACATCTTCTGTCTGGAGAGCAGCTCCCAAATATGTCTTGATCACTGGGAATGTGAACATAGAAAGTGAATAGAAATACCACAGGCAGGGTTGTGACTTTTCTAACTGAGTTTCATTATTTATTTATTCATACAGAACTGGGGTACAAGCTAGAGGTGCAGGGGTGGTGAGAGGCCTTACCAGAGAGACAGAGTGGGGAGAGAACAGGCAGACTGAGGAGGTACACTGCTGAGGGGAGCAGCAGGCGGGTCAGGAGAGGTCTGCTGTGTCATGTGGGTCATCTTTGGGGCGGGGATCGAACTCACATTGAGGTGGCTGCGGCCAGCTTGCAATGCTGCATCCTAACCCGCTGCAACACCAAGGAGGGCCCTCTAACTGAGTTTCATTTCTAACCCAAGTGCTAACACTTCATCATTCCATTGAAAGTCTCACACCTTCACTTGTCCCCATCTGTAAATATTGTGTCTTCATCCTCTTATCTCAGGGAAGCTCAGAGACTTGGAAACTTAAAAAAAAAAAAAAAAAAAAGTAAAATATTCCGGCCACTGCCACCAATTATTGTAGGTGTTCCAGCTGCTAAAATAATTGGTCTCAACATCGCTGAAACACAGGACCTTTTCATGCAGATGGGCTTGATATAGCTCAGTAGACTTTCCTGGGAAGTGACATTCTTAGAGCAGATCAGGATGTTCACATATTTGCCTCAGAAAATACTGATGGAGAAAGATGTGTTACCTCCAGCCCCACAAGGTGATTCTGGAGTCAAGTCATTTAACTAAGTTAGCGAATTCTAGGTTCTGTTACCCTCTTGTAGAGTCACACTGTCCATGTATTACAGGCCCTAAGAAGCTCTGCTATAAGGAAATGTTTAACTTATTTTTTTTTTAAAGATTTATTTATTTGTACATTCAGAACCGGGGTACAGGCAAGAGGCTCAGGGGCGGTGAGAGGCGTCACCAGAGACAGAGCGGGGAGCAGAATAGGCAGATCGGTGAAGTACACTGCTGAGGGGAGCAGCGGGCGGGTCAGGAGAGGTCGGCCACGCCATGTGGTCTCCTCCAAAGCAGGCGGGGATCGAACTCATGCGGAAGTGGCTTTAGCTTCTCAGTGCAGTGCTTTAACCCGCTGCGCCACCAGGGAGGGCCTGTTTAACTTATTTTAAGTGAGTCAATCCATTCTTATGGGACCACAGTTTTTCCCTTTATTACCCCCTCACAATAATACCAACATTGAACATTTTGCCTTAATCAGGTGACTTTCTGCTGTGATCCAAGTATTGGTAGCTAACATTTCCAGTTCCGAGACAACAGTCACTGGCAATTTGAAGCTATCTTTATCAGACTGTCTTATAAGGACTGTACAGAGAGTTCTCTACAAGTCTTTTATGGAATACCTATATTGTCCAGACTATATTATTAATCTGATCTACTGTTAGCAAAGCATGAGTTCTTTACTTACACAACCTTTGCTTCCCTGTATAAGTACTGACACTCCTGAGTTCCTATTTGGAAAGGTTGGCTACTGTGAGATGAGTAGAAAGAAACAGGTGAGCGTCTCATGCCTGGGCTGTGGCGGTGACTGCATTTTCCCCCAGGGCACGGTGGCCTGGGTGAGCAGGGCGCTTGGGGACCATCGCTCCATGTTGCTGTGGCTTGTGCTTGCCCGTGGTGGGACTTGTGAGCCGCTTGAGTACTGCTTCATGTGAAGAAACACGTTCTGCAGTTCTCCTTACAAGATATAATATATATATATATATATATATATATAAAGATAGATCTTTATTTGTTTTACAGCGATGGAGAGGGAAGAAAAAGGACTTCATCCACTTGCAGCAATGAATCCCTGAACTTTGGAGGAACCCCTGTGACTCCTCGCCGGATCTCCTGGCGGCAGCGCATTTTCCTCAGGGTTGCCTCACCGTTGAACAAGTCTCCTTCCGCCATGCAGCCACAGGGTCTGTGCGGCCCTCAGTAACCAAACGGCTCCTCGCTAGTGTCGTAAAGTAGGGGGAAGAATGCAGTGTTTTGTGTACTTTGAAAGGTTTGAAGGGAGTGCAGTGGAGAAATCGCTTGTTTTTCTATGACTGATACACTTTGAAGTGTCATTAAAACATATGAACCATTTGGTGAATGTTTGTTGATTGAAGGAGTGAATGAGAGTCCAACACCAATTTGGAGGCCCATAAGGCATGAAGAACGAGGATTCTATTAGAAAAGCCAAACTTTTTTTTTTAATTAGAAAAACAACATGCTCTTTTAACAAGTGTCAGATAAAACAAAGTGACATAGGAATGTTAAATAATAAAGAAGTGGATGCGGGCTCAATAAGTAAAAATCAATCAGAAGAGAGTACAGGCAGCTGTCTATAAATGTTAGATCTATTAGAAATTAAGTCAAAAACTTCCCCAAATGCAGTCAAGGTAACAATAAACAGAAAGATAAAGCAATCTTGAAAACACAACCTTTAGGGCTAGGATAAAACACAATAGAATTTGGGAGAGATAAATCAATAGCTCTTATGGGAGATTTTTAATGTACTCCTCTCTGAGATTTAAATATAGAGGGATTAAATCTAGAGAATATTTGAGAACTGCAACAAGCCTGATCTAATATGTGTGTGAAACCTTTCCCCCTTTAGGGCCTTCATTCATTTTTTAGGATACATGGAGTAGTCATAAAAATTAATTATCTACTTGGCTGCAAAAAATTTTTGATGAATATCAGACAATCAGGATAAAATATTTATACAATATTCTCTGATTGCAGTGTAAGAAAAAATGAGATGAGGGGCAGGGGAAGAAAAATCAAGAATCAGAGGCCAACAAAAAACTTTCACGTGCTTGGAAAATAAAAGATGTACTAAGGAAAGAAAGTAGGATGACCAGAACTACCTATCAAAATTCAGTGGTATTCAGGGGTCATTTCTAAAACAAAGGCAAAGCTCTAATATACTAAGTGATCAACTCAAGAAGCTCTTAGTGGAGCCACAAAATACATGTTTACAACTTAAGAGAATAAATAATGGGCTAAGGGCACAGGTCAGTTGACACTGCTAAACATAAATGAACTTTCTAGTGTGTAAAGAAAGCTTTACCAAAAAGGTAGCTATTTATTTAAACTAATTGCTAGGAGAAACATGTTTCAGAAACACAGCAAAGCTCTAGAGTCATTTAAGAGAACATTTCAGGCCAGAGAATACTGAGAAATTCAGCATGGTGGAGGCAGAGGATGGGAGGTAGAAACCAGAGTCTAATATACTCACCTGCCCTTTTCAGTAGCTTGGACTTTATTTTGGGTGTGTAACCAACCAACCATTGAAATGATTTAAGTGTGTGATCATGTCTGAAGATGGGAAAATAACTGGCAATCGTGCAAAGGATGGCTTGGGACAAGGGAGAAAATCAGCTTCAGGAATTGGGTAAGAGAGTGTTGGGAGAAGGAGCAGAGAGCTCAGCCAAGACACACCCAGCTTTGCTGGGCTGCTGGAGGGATTCTGGGAGCAGATTAGACCTTAGACCTCAGACCTACACCTACAGCCCTTTGTTTTGCGGTGAGAGAACCTCCATAGATAAATTGCAGAAGTGAAGGACTCTGGGGAAAGGCCAGTTCATTTTGGAGCACTTATTTTATAGGTCTTTTGTGCAGAAAGAAGAAGTTGTGAAATTACAAAAGCTTTTGTTTCACTATAAGAGGGAAATCTCGAAGGGGAATTCAGTGTAGTAAATTTACTTCAATTATTAGTTCCAGAAACTAACAATTACTAGCAACGCCTCTGTGGCGAAAAGCTTTAAAGGTGGAATATAGGAGAGACTGCAATTCCAGAGAGAACTTCTGTAGTCTGGGTTACTCCCAGGAATGCCTCTCACTGTTTTCTTCTCTGCAGATGGACTGGACAGCAATGAGCTGCTGCCACTGTCCCCTCTTGCCCCAACCATGGAGGAGGAACCGCTGGTTATATTCATGTCTGGTGAAGATGACCCAGAAGTGATGGAAGAAAGAAAAAAGTCAGAAGCACTGAGGAGTTTGTGGAGAAAAGCCATACACCAACAAATCTTGTTGCTTCGAATGGAAAAAGAAAACCAGAAACTTGAAGGTTAGCTGTTTAAATAGGGCTCAAGGATAAGGGTACAGGTTTACTCGCCCTCCTCCGCTGCTCACTCCATTCTCAGCCTTTACACACTTTTGTGAGAATATTTACTGCTTATAAGCTCTTATTTCTATTTTGTGAGGTGTTTATAACACGGTAAAGGTCAGTTGAAGATGTGGCATTTTTGCTTAGTAGATTTAAAACATCAGCCCTTCCCCTTAAAGAAAGCTTGGACAACAGTGAATGTAGATACTATGGCATAAATATATTTGGTATGATTGAAGTGTAATGTGTTAAATATAAATATTAAATCTAATGTTAAATATTAGATTACTATTTTAAAACCTCTTAAATGTTAAAAATCAAATTCTCTCTTTTTTAATATGACTAATTTTCTGGCTAACTATATTCATAGTAACAGTTTAAAATTTTTCAACAGAAGTCTGCTTATGTGGTACTAAATTCAACTACCTACTTACTTGTCCAAAGTTCCTCTTTTTTGGACTGCTTTACAAATTTTCTCTTTAAAAATTATTAAATTTATAATTGAGATAATTTATGATAGTCATTGTGTGCTTTGTGGTACTTTATTGCAAAGTTATAGATACCAGATGCTTTAGAATATGTTTTCCAGTCTTTGAAGGAATAATGTTTTTTACTCTAGCACTAAGAACCACACAGGGAGATGTGCAAACAGTATCAATGCAGAAAGATTTATAAGATGCCGTTATCTTGGCCAAATCATTTAAACCTTTTAAAGGACCTTATTTTACATGTGTAAAATGAACAATATCGCTTCAGTGGGCTCCTTAACTTCTAAAATTAATAGAAAATGTACAACCTAGGTTTTTCTCTGATTTGCTTTTATTGTGTTGTCTTACAAAAAGCTTTTTTAGGAAGTCATTCTCATTGCTTTGTTCATCGTCTAAAGATTCCTCTTTTTTAAGTCAAACAATATAAAATCAAACAAAAACAGTTTGCAAGGGTCCAACTTATTTTCGTTATTGCTCTCACTAACAGAATAAAAAGTACTGGTTCTAAATATCCCAAGGAAAGAAACATTCTTTTCTTTGAAATTAAAAAAAATGCAATTAATTGCTATTGACACAACTTTTAAAATAGGATATAATAAATGGCATGCCCACTTGAGCTTTCATAGATTTTGGAAAGCAATTGAATTTATATTTTTAAGCAATTATTTGCATCTTGAACTAAGTCAGAAACAAAAAAAGAAGTTGAGAAAGGGAGCATAATTATCATTCCTTTAACACATTTAAAACATGAAACTATATTTCATTAAGTTGGAAATACGCACAAAGTAGAATCATATTAAAAATCAAAAGATAACTTTGGAATCCTAGACTATTTGAAATGGAAATAGCCTTAGAGATTATTTAGCTTAGTTCTTCATTTTGCAGCTTAGTGACTGGCTTGGGGAGGCTGAGGAATTAACTAACGTAAGGTCAAAGAGTGATGAACTGGCAGACTGAATACTAAAACTCAGGTTTATTTATCATGGCTCTTGCTTTGTTGCCAGAATGATACAGTGTTTCTCAGCTATGTGTGTTAATACAGGAAAGGAGGCATTTTAACATAAAGTTTATATGTGTATTCTCAAATCAGCTGTACCAGGTACACTGACAAGATAAGAAAGGAGATGATGTTTATGTGATGAGAAAATTTTATCCATTCTGTATTTCAGTCCTGAAGTAACAAAGACAAAATATACTTTAACCCATTAAATTCTAACCAATGTGTAATCATTTGTTGATGCTCCTTACTTCTGCCTCGCTATCCAGTTGAGGACAGACATTCACTACTCTTACTGAGCATTTTAATCCTCAAGGCCTATTACTGGTACATAGGAGGCACTTACTATTATTTTAAATAAATAATGACCTAGAGCAGATTGGAGGGGGAAAAAATCTGAGGAAATACTAGCTCTTTCCATTCTGAAAACTTACTGGTCAATTTATATAAAGGACCATATGTATTACTAATTTTAATGAACCCATTTCTATCATCTAAGTCTAAAGCAATTCTTGAGAAGCAAAGCTCAATGGTATTAGAAAGCCATCTAGTGGAATCCAAGAGGAATATATTTTTGTGTGTGTGCCAAGTTATCTTTTGCTTATGTCTGGACTTTATATCTTTATTTTATTGTGTGCAAGTTATCTTTTGCTTATGTCTGGACTTTATATCTTTATTTTATTGTGTGCAAGTTATCTTTTGCTTATATCTGGACTTTTAGAGATTTTTTCTGCCCTACTGAAATAACAGTCTATCATATGATATATTTAATTCTTTTGAAACTGTACTGTTTCCCAACACATTAAGTAAAGAGTAATATTCCTTCTGCTGTTGCTTTGTGCTGTCGAGGACACTGGATGCATGACAAAGATTTGTGTTGCAGAAGGTAAGGCTGCTTAGTAGGACCTTGAGCTTGCGTGAAAACAGATTACTAGGTGGCCCTGTCCAAGCAGACCTAATAAAAGAGATTGACATGTTTTTCTTCCTTTTTGCCTTTGGACTCAATTATTCAAGATAAAAACCAAGTCAAGATAGTAGTTGCTTTTATGGACATTCATTCTAGTGAGCTCTGGGCTTAAAAACTTCGGCTTTTAAGTCATAAATAAATATTAACTTCAGTAAAATGAATTGTCCTCTTTAAAGTGATTAAAAAGGGAGACAGGAACATAAAACTTAATACCTTTAAGGGCAGTGTTGTAATACTGGAAATAGTTATAAAAATGTATTAACTTCTCATGGTCAAATATTTTTTGAATCAAGGTTAACATGAGGCATTGCTTTCTTCATATCATTTATGAAAAACTGACATCTTAATCATATTGTAAATAACACAAGCTGTAACTTCCTGTTGACTTTGTCAAAGGTTTGAAGTTCACAGCATAGCAAACATGCTTTGTTTTTTTATGCCTAGCAAAATTACCACCTAAAAGCATAAAGCCTCCTTATGAAATTTATTCCTGATATTTTCTTCCTTGAATGCCTCAGAATATGGGCACTTACACATATTTTCACATTTATTTTTTTAAGAAAAAGTTTGCAGTTGACTCCTAGAAGTCATTTGTTCTGGTTTTACAAGTATAAGAAATTATTTAAAGTACTATGTTTTTAAAATGCATCAGTCATACATGAATTCTCTCTCTCTCTCTCTCTTTAGCAAGCAGAGATGAATTGCAGTCCAGAAAAGTTAAGTTGGACTATGAAGAAGTGGGTATATGCCAGAAGGAGATCTTAATTACCTGGGATAAGAAATTGTTAAACTGCAGAGCTAAAATCAGATGTGACATGGAAGATATTCATACCTGCCTTAAAGAAGGTATTCTGGATCATCTCCATAATCTTCTGAGAAAAAAATTGAGAGGTTCTTTGATGTGTGCAGTTTGGGCTTAAATTTGTCTTTGTGTTTTACTTGTAAAACAGGGATAGTGATTTGTTTCTGCCTGTAGTTAGTGATATGGTTGGTAAGGACATGGTGTTAATGACGGAGATACTGTCCTTTCTATAGACTTTTCTGCTAACTTCAACCTGTTCCTTTCAGCTCTGTGTTGATGGAGCACATGCCTTAGTACACATCTTTAGTCATGTCCATAGGAACAGCTCAGAATTTTTGTGAACTTGGCACCTTCACATATTTCTTCATAAATGTGTATTTACATATAGTATATGGAAAGCCAACTACGTGTGTGTTTATACAGACAGATTTGTATTCTTATTAATCAGTTATTCAGTTTTCCTCCCACCATGCATTCCTCTGTTAATTTTGGGAGAATTGCCTTTATTTAATCATTTTAATACATTTCAGCTTCACCCTGTAAAATTTATATTAAATTTAAAATGAAAACTATCTGAATATTTTAGGTGTAATTTCTGTGGCCCTGATCAAACATACCAAAATGAGAATCTCCCTGGCCTGCATAAATTTGGTATCAAATAAAAAT